ATTAAAAGTTAGCTATTCAAATAAACAATAAAATAGTTTTATTAGACAAAATGAAAAATGAGTGGTGACAGAATATTTTGACGTCATCATACAAACAAATCTCAGTTTGCTTTTATTATAAAAATGTCTTCATATATAAAATCACATAAATTTGATTGTAGCAATCACGCTTCCAGATTTGCAAGTCAAAGAAATATCGTCATTTGTTTTTTCTGCTAACAATAGTTACACTGTCGCTTGCAACAAGGCTTTGTACAAAATAGATAATGTACCTTATTTATTTCAGAAGATTTCAAAAGTTTATAACAAAATTCACATCACATGTAGAACAACCAATTTCTACAAAGGGAACATTGATGAAATTTTTGTACTTAACAAGCAGACCGATTCTCTTGTAATCTTTAATAGTAATTAACAAATAAAGTTTTTATCCTTTAATAATATATGTGCTATGTACTTGAAACATCTTTTCAATAATAATTATTATATTTTATTTCATTAATAAAGTAGCTCAACAGAATAAAAGACATAATTTTGATCACACATTTCGATTAGATTAAATACACTTTGTATAAAATCATTACAAAAATGTTACAGGTGTTTTTTTAATATAAAAACAAAAAGTTTCAAGGAATTAGTCGTAAGAAATAACTAGAGAAGCCGAATATTTTCTAAGTCATATTAAATGCATTTTGTTTAATATAATACAAAAAGAGTTTACTCTTGTTTTATTGTTAAGAAAATGAAATGAACGTTTCCAAAATACATGTTTTTTTACTTACTATAACGATTCATTAATTATTAAAATACGTAAATGACTAAGCTCATTGTTCTTTCTCATAAATTTCTTTTTTCTGGGTACGTTTCGATCAGTAGGAGATTCAACTATCAAATTTTATTCCCATCAAAACATGTTGTTTTGATAGGAAACAAAACTCAGAAAACAAGAAAACGCTATAAGCAATGTTCAGGAGAATCATGTTTATTAAATACAAGGTTTGAAATATTTAACTCATCAGGGTATATTGTATTGGTTGTACTTTTGTATATTGTATCGCAAGATTCTTCTTAACATTGATGCAAGCTTTCAATACTAAATATACATATTGTGAAAAGTTTTGGCTATTTGTTTTTACGACCGGCCTCCTGCCCAATATCAACCCTCTTTAGGAATCAGCATTAATCAGTGATGTCTAAATACTCTTAGAAAGTACATATGACTCGGAAAAATTACATTGGTACTTGCCCGGGCCAGGATCGAAGCCGCACCCGCGTGAATGAGAGGCGGGCCTTTTAACCACTAGGCCAACACTGACTGTTATATATATATTACAATACATTATATAAATATTATAATACAATATAAAAACTCTAGATGTATAATATGAGTGGCGTACTAATGCATATTATGACGATAACAACTTTTATAACTTTTTGAATCTTTATATCTCAAAAACGGTGGCACATAAAAAAAAAGTATGGCTACATTTGTTACACATAGATAATTTTTGTCGGCGCTACTTTTATGATAAAACTTACCATATTGCTGAAAATCGCGAAAAACTCATTTTGTTGACCTTTAAACTTTAATATTTTTTTCCTTACAGGGGAATGATGGGGAACTTCTAGACATTGTTTATAATTATGTTTTGAACAATTTGACAGAAATTCAGCTTATTGGGAATGTAACTTAATTTTTTGGTCTAAATTGACTAGACTAATATGACAAGTAAACACAATCCAATCTAATGTTTTTAATATTATTAAGTAATATATGCCTTAACAACTTAATTAACATTAGGTAGAGTCAATTTAGACGAAACATTATAATGCAAAAGATATTCACAGAAATACATTATTGTATTAAAATTTTAAATCGTAAAAATTAAACACATTTCAACGACACACAATGTTGCAAATGAAATAAATAATTTAAATAAAATTAATATTTATCTACTCCTATTTTTATGTATATGTATAATCTCTTTAGACACGTATATAAATACAAAACAAAAATATTTTTCGCGTATTTTGTTATTATATATTTCTTCGCATTATATATACATAGTTGCGGCAAAAACGATTTCCACTTTAGCCTTACAAATTACAGTGGCAATATCACTAACCACCATAATTGCCAAGTTTAATAGATTGTATCATATCTTTCTATTTATGCATCAATCCTCGTCGATTTTTGAAAGAATCAATACATTTGAATTCAATCAACAATTAAATAATTGTAGACTTAATGATTTACTTCGTAAAGAACATACATATGTTATATACAAGACCCCAAGTTATACCTACATAACTCATCTAAAATATGAAGTTAAATATTTTACAGCTTGATATGAAACAATGGTTAAAAAGTAAATAGTACCTAAAGTAATAACAACAATTTAGGATAAAATTTCTTGGGAATTTAGTTCAGCAATACCTTTAAGATATTTAGAGAGGTGAACAACATTATGCTTTATTTACACCATTTAAGTTTTGTTAACCTTTAATTTAACAGAAAGACTATTGGTATAATCGATATGTGACGGTATTTGCTTTATAACGATTGAAGATATTATTATTAAAACTTTCTTTATTTAAATCGAGTTTTGGAAATTTGTCTTAACACCATTAAGGATCAGAGAGAACTGACTGCTTACAACCATATTTCTATAGTTGTCTTTTTTACATTATGTAACACTTAGTGTTATTTTTTGGTCTATACAATACTTGAACTGTATATACTTTTTATGGTTCGTAGTTCGAGTATTTTGAAGTACTTTTCTCCGAAATAATAAATCTCATTCCAGGGCAAAAATGTGTTCACCAAGTGTTACTTATAAACGAAAACTTTTATGATTAATTTAAAACATTTAAAATATAACTTCTTAAAAGATAATGATGTTGTAGACGAACTCAATAATTTAACATAGACATCTCATGTAATATTATGTAATTTGGTAGAATTACTCATCAGGATAAGTAGTTAAACAAACCGTTATTAAACAACTGCCTGGATCATAATGAAAACTATGACCTCAACACTGTTTGATCATTCTGTGTATGTGAGTTATACACACAGAGTAGCTTCATGTATGTAATTATAAATTTAATAAGAATATTAAGCCGATAAATATAATCATTAAGAAGAGAATGTTAATCATAATAAGTTAAAATAATTAAAGGGTTGTAGATAACGTTCGTCCAATCGATATAATAAATGTATACAATATGTAATAAATGCTAGTTAATATTAAATTTAAATTGTAAATGCAGACGAAGGTGCAGCTACAATACTCATAAACTTCAAACACTACAGGTGCTTTATGAAGTTGAAACGGTAAGGCTTTTTCAATTAATATTTTCAACGTTTCATATATAACAACAAATTTATTGTATTTATTATAGTATTTTATTGTGGTTTCACGACAGTACAACATAAAAAAAAATCTAAATTAATTTGATATAAGTTTTCTTATTTTATTGATATTATAACTTAAACATAAGGGATAACATAGTTATATATGTATGTAGCTCCAAAGTTCAAATCAACAACAAACACTTAAAATATAGAAATAAACAAAAATAATCTCATTACTTAGATGTGAAAAGCTAAAGACACCTAATTAGTTTTTAATGACGTTTTGATAAGTTAATGATATGACATAGGAAGGGCTTCCACCTATCTAGAAAAAATAGATTTATAACAACCAAAATTGATACAGTAAAGAAGTATTTTTTTTTTACTTTTTAAAATTGGCAAGAGAATATATTTCTCACAATGTACTACATATTTCAAAATCTTATTTCACTTCAGTTAGCTATAATCCAAAAGTAAAATAAAACAATCCGTACTAACAGAAACATCCTAAACATACAAGATATGATAAGGTGACGTAAAGAAGTGAAATATTTTGCAATTTATTTATTGTTTTGAATAATTCAATACTCGCAATGGAAATCAATGGCAAGTGAAAATTGTTGTACACTCTTTTGAATTAATCATGAGCAATATATATTACTTTATCCCCTAAAAAAGGTATCATTGACACAACCTTTGGAAAAAAACCGTTTCAAAGGAAACCTATTTTAACGGTAAATCAGAGAATGATGCGTTCTATATAAAAGATGTAAAGCTTCCAAAAACCATAAACATTCAGAAGAACCCATTTTAAAATACAATAATATTAGCTCTTTTTTTTAACTCTTCTCCTCGCTTGATATAAGTAAAGTGTAAGAGACAAAGAAACACATAATTTTATTTTAAACATCAATGGGATTTTCACCGGTCGTTATCTGCGCGCGCGCTAGTGAATTATCTTTCCACGAGTGCATTTTTTCTACTTCTACCCTCATTGTGTCAAGTGTCTAATGATGGAATCGGATTTTTCGTCTTCTTATTAAGTGACAATATTCAAACTTTCCAATTGTTTCTGAATACAGGAACAAAATGAATTCCCAAACGACTGTCAATAATCGCAGTTACGCTACTGTAACACAAAATACCATGTTCCCTAAAAAGGATCAAGCAATTATCATCGATGCCTTAGAAAACGTACAAATCAAAGATTATGCTCAAGCTCTAGGAAGAATAATCGACCCATCTCAAATCCGTTTTTTGTCAAGAATATGAAACAATAGAATTTGCATCTACATTTCATCAAAGGTTATTGCTGATGAGATCATTGACAAAATAAAATATGTTACAATTCAAAATCAAAAACTACCCATTCGACCACTGATCAGCAGAAATAAAAAATTGAAAGTGAAAAGAAGCAGAAATTGAAAAGAAACTACTAGAAATGAATATCACTCCACAATTACCCATAACTTTTTTCTGCGTGCTGGCTTTGAATGAAAAAATGAAATGAAACGGGCTACAACCATATTCTAAGCTTTCGAAGACAAGTATACGTAACTCCTGAAGATTTTTCCGTGTACCAGAAAAAATATCTATGGACTTTGAAGAAACGAATTACTGGATCTATTTCTCATCAGACACAATGACTTGTTTTATTTGTAAAAAAGACGGTCATGTAGCCTCTAAATGCCCGGATAATATCAACAACACGAATGTTCTTAACCAAAAAACACTGGACACTGCGGAGACACCAATTTTCAAGCGCCCACACCCACCCACTGAATCTTCAACTACAACTGACTTTATGGAGTCCGAAACAACTAAAGAAAACAACGAAAATAGTGACGAAGACTCGGATGATAAGTCATCCCAGTCCAGCTTAGACGAAGCTTATAAACCCAAGAGTGGAAAGAAACTCAAAAGAACTCATAACGATCTGGCATTAATCGACTGGGACCTAGTGGAAAACTTTACATCTATCTCCAGTAAAACGTACCCACTTTCCGGAAAACAAGTTAAAGAGTATCTCACACACACATATGGAATTAAGGATATATCAGAAATCACCTATAATTACACAAAAGAAAGTGGTGCCTTCATTGAAATGTTTAATGACTTAATACCGATCATCTCACATCGCAGTGTTAAAAACAGACTCTCACGTATCGTTGGTAAACTAAAACTCTTATCTCGTAAGAAAAATATCCTATATAAATAGATAAGTTATTAAGTTATTTTTAAAGTAAGTCGATAAATTGTTGCGTTAAAACTCTTCCAAGTAATTATAATAATATTGATGTTTTTTGCCTTGAAGTCCTTAATATTAAAAAACTTAAATATATCATAGCGGTTTATTCTCCCACAAATGTCACAGTGAGCGTAGAGGACTACCAGGAGCTTTTCAGTTACTTATCTCAGAAAACTATAATATTGGGAGACTTCAATGCACATCATACGGCTTGGTCATACACAACTGACACACGGGGTAGACTTTTATCGGACACTAGCATAAATCATTACTACGTATTTCTTGACAATGGACACTTTACCCGTTGCGCTAAGTTTAATGATAGTACAATATGCACATCACCTGATATATCTTTTTGTAGTGCCGATCTCTCACTCGACTTTGATTGGAATATCACTAACGAATCTCTTGGTAGTGATCATCTCATTATTTCTATTAAAACATTAGACAGTACTCAAAACAGCCCTGAATTAAAAAGGAACATCAAACAGGCCAATTGGGTAGAGTACACAAAACACATAGAATCTACATGTGAGGGAATAGATTACGGAAATGATATACAAAGTAACTACGATAAATTCATACGGATAATTGAGGAAAGTGCTAACAAAAACATACCATATATTAAAACCAGTTTTAATCCTAACAAATTTAAACCAAAGCCATGGTGGAACCCTGATTTATCGAAGGCAGTAGCAGAGAGACGATTATCTCTTAAGAACTTTAGGAAATTACGCACGGTCGAAAACTATTTAATTTATAAAGAAAAAGTAGTTATTCCTCGAAAATTGATAAAACTCGCTAAACGGAATTCCTGGCAACGGTTTTGTGATAGCATAGACTGTAACATGGCCAGTTTTGAGGTTTGGAGGAAACTCAGATGGCTTAGAGGTTACCGAAACCCTGTTAATTACTTATCAGAAAGTACCGCAGTCTCCTTTGTAACAGAACTCACCCCCGACAGTGTTTCCTTCCAGCCCCTAAATTCCAGTATTGATAACTCCAATCCTTTGTTTTCTCATTTTCAGAACTTAATCTTATTCTAAAAAGAGTAGATACTTCGGCTGGTTTAGACACTATTACTTATTCTATGATTAGTTATTTACCAGGCAATGCTAAAAAAATATCTCCTACACATATTTAATACAATTTATAGAACAGGCGAGATACCATATCAGTGGCGTAGGATCAAACTTATTGCCATACCTAAAAGAGACACTGAGAAGTATCGTCCTATCTCACTTATCAACTGCCTTTATAAAACCTTTAATTTAATAATTACTCGTCGTCTTGAACACCAATAGGATTGGAAATATCTCCCTCAAAGACTAAAGTGTGCATCTTAACTAGAAAATATAAAGTGCCTCCTGTTAATATACGAATAAACAACAATGAAATGAAGCTTATTAATTGTACAAAGTTTCTGGGCGTATGGGTGGACAGTCAGCTGAACTGGACGCGGCATGTGTTAGAAACTGCTCAAAAATGCACTACATTTGTTAATATCCTTAGCTCTATAAGTAGTTCAAAGTGGGGTGTCCATCCAACACATCTAAGAAGACTTTATTTTGCAATGGTTCGATCTCGACTCGATTATGGAGGTATCATTTACGGTAACGCCAACTCTAGGCTCTTACAGAGGTTGGACGTTATTCAAAACCAATGTCTTCGGCTTTGTGGTAGCTTTATTCGAGATACTCCAATTTTGCAATGGAAAGCGAACTATGTATCCCACCCTTAAGTTTTAGAAGAATACTAGCGGCCCGGTACGTGCTTCGCTACGTATAAAGTGAAATAAAATAAACAAATCGGAACATCAAATTCATTTATTTAATCAAAAAAATATTTTATTTAAAATCGAAATCAATTGCTAGCTATTTACAACACACTTAATCCAAAACATTTGGATAAACAATATTTTTTGTTTTTCCATTTTGAGCATAAATAAACAAACGGCTGGGGGTACCGACTCTGGAACAGGCAACATATAACTGGCCATGTGAAAAACAATGTTCCTCCAAATTCACACCACAAACGTGAAGTGTTTGACCTTGGGCCTTGTTGATGGACATCGCAAATGATAAACGCACAGGATATTGTAAACGTTTGAACTCAAAAGGCATATCAGTTGGAATCATAGGTATACGCGGTATCAAAACAACTTCTCCTTTTGATTTACCAGTTAAGATCGTAGCTTCAATCAAATTTGGCAATAACTTTTTCACTGCCAATCTGGTTCCGTTACACAGTTTTGGTGGATTAATATTTCGCAATAATATAATCGAAGAACCAACTATCAGATTCAAGCAATGCGGTGGCATACCAGCCGGCTCCAATGAATTTAAAAATTCAATTGGATAATTCATTGCCTCATCTTGATTCATAACACTGTCAATTGATTTATATTTCGTGACTACGCCTGGCAGTTTCGCTTGAATTTGAAAATTAATTGCATTGACATGAATGTTTTTCGGTGCTAAAATGGCGCGTTCTGTCAACCAATCATGATTTTTGTAATTCTGAACAATATTCGGAAAAACACATTCAATCAATTCATCTATCGATTGCGCAATTGTACAAAAATTGTTCGGTACAGCGATCAATCCGTTGGTTCTGTCGATTTGTATTTTGCCGTCACCAATTTCTAACAATTGTTTTGAGAACTCATGGGCAGCTGGATCATTTTGTAGGTGAACACGCATATTAATGTTTAGTGTCAATTTTTGTAGATATCTCCAAAGAACTGATGACTTCAAGCAGGCATTTATTTCATCAGCAGGAGTTGATCGAGGAATGACAGGCAATGTTTGACGAAAATCCCCTGAAAGTAATATCAAAGCACCACCAAAAAGCTGTTGATTACCACGTAAATCTTGCATTGTTCGATTGAATGCTTCTAGTGATTTTTTATTCGCCATTGTACACTCATCCCATAAAATAATTGACGTTAATCGCAGAACTTTTGCCATAGCAGAATTTCTCGATATATTGCAAGTTGGAGTTTCAATCACCTGTACATTCAATGGCAATTTTAATGCAGAGTGTGCGGTCCGACCACCTTCTAATAATGTAGCAGCAATTCCCGAAGATGCAAGTGCTAGTGCAATTTTCTGATCTGATCGAATAGTCGCTAAAATCAATGATATAACGAACGTTTTACCTGTGCCACCAGGTGCATCCAAAAAATATAATCCACCTGCATTATTGGAAACGGCTTGCATGATTGTATCATATACATGTTTTTGCTGAATATTTAATTTGGTTATATTCGATTGTACAAATAAACGCAAATCATTACAGTTGAATTCCCTGCTCACGTTGCAATTCACGATCAAACAAATCATGCATGGGACGATTTGGTGCGGTCATACCCAATTGTACTAATGCTTTATTTGCAATCGTTAGACATATATCTTCAATTATTATCAAAGCTTCGTTGCACATTTCCAAGGTAATCAACAAATCAGGATTTCTTGCATGATGACGCATACGAATTAAAATATCTTCTGCCATATATTTTTTTATATTTGTTCCATAATTCAAGTGGATTTGATGGCATACATGTCGATAATATAATGGCAAATAGCATTCGTATTTGTTGTGGATGAGCTGACGTAGATGCATCATTAAGTGTTGAATCCCAATGTGCATCATCCTCCAACAAATGCAAGAGTTGACATGCTTCACGATATGTTTGACACAAATGACCGTCGACTGTTCTTAATTCTTGAAATGATTTTGGGCCATTGACGTTAACTAATAGCAATCGCAAATAAAAACACTCAGCATTGTTTGGATGTACTGTATACATTCTCCCAATTGCATCTGTTTTGAAAATGCCTGAATGCCCATCGACTGCTGTTCCTTGTTTACGTCTTTGAAATTTTTTTGAAGACACATTCCATGTATAGTACTGAGGCACTTCGGAATATAACAAATTTCTAGCAAATGTATCAGTTTCGCATAATTTGAAAAAAGCTGTCAACGTAGTCGCTGGTGCGTGTGCTGCTCTTTCCAATGCATTTGCTTCATTAAAATAAATACGTTGTCCATTCTCAAGATGCACAGCTAAGTGAACAACCACAGGATGTCTTTCGTGCATTGGAAACGACAGAATCCTCCAGACAGCTTCATTACTACTAATATAGCGCCCCAGTTGATACTGAGTAATTTCATCATTTCTATTATCACCAGCTACACCGAAAACAGCCATATCGCTCCCTTTATTTACATACTTGCAAATATATTTAATGGATTTGACTGAATTACAATACTCCACATTTATATGAGCCTTGAATATTTTCGATAATAATGGACAATACGGAACCACCCAACGATTATCAACTTCAACGTCCTGGTTACGCATTCTAATGTTTGCCGTTTTGCCATTATCATTAGGTGATCTACGTCTATACAACGGATATCCGTCATTGCCCGTTATTGTGTCTGAAGTCAATTGTCTTGGGTATCGTTTCGAACACTTTCCATCAATCATACATGGCGAATTCATATTTAGTTCACCGCACGGACCATGTATCATGTTTTTAACGACAACATCAAATAACTCAGGATCAACAGTTTGATCAGGAATTTCACCTGATATAACGTTATCGATTTGATCCGGAGTTATTTTATTTACCAGCCAAATTAATATATGTGCGTGCGGCAATCCCCTTTTTTGCCATTCGATTGAGTACATATGGCAACGCACCTCTCCAAATACACTTAATTTCACAATTAAATCCATAAGTGCTGTCAATTTTCGCCGAAAAACACGTGCTGTAATGTCATGACGATCAGTTGTCGACTGGCCTTCAAATAAATTGTTCTTGATGTCATCCCACTGCGGATTACATGTAAATGTAATGAACAGATCCGGTCGACCGTATTTTCGTACATAAGACATTGCGTCTTGTGCATATTCGTTCATATGCCGTGGGCTACCAATATACGAAGATGGCAATATAGTTAAACGTCCGATGTCATTAACATTAGCATCATTCGCTATCGCATCTTGCAAATGAATATATTCTTCGGATCTTAATTTTGCTTGGTTGAAACGAATAAAATTAAGACGTTCAGTCTCTATTTTGGCATACATATCAACGATGTACTGATGATATAGTTTACCACATTTTAAGATATAATTTTGTTCTTGTGGACGAATCATCAATCGATACGAATAAAAATACATGGCACTAACTTTTTTCTGTATATGTAGACCTGATAATAATTACAAAATGTGACTTTAGAAAGTTGTAGAAATGAAATGTCAACACACTAAAAATAGGTCAATTATTTACCTGTTCGTGGATCAATCATTGGTATATTGATATGGTAACCATCGTCACCTTTCCAATGCAATATTGGGTACTGTAATGCATCGTAACTACGATGAAGTTCCGAAACACGTTGCAATTGCTCATTTCTACGATGAAGTACAATATCACGGGATTGAAACTGATCACCAAGAATTACAATTGCAACCTCATCAATTGTTGGTGCATTAAATCGCCTTGCATGCTCTCCAAAAGGTGTTCTATCAGCTCTTATTACGATTTTGTGATTATCAGTTGGCATACGATCGAGAGCAATTTTAAACAATTGAACTAATGCGTTATGCTGATGGAAAAACCTTTGTAGCTCACGAATAATTTCTCGTCTTGTATTCGAAACAATTGCACAACGTTGATCTAATTCACGATTTTCATCACCAATAAAATAAATTTGCAAAAATTGATGATCAGCGTCGGGGCATGGCAATAACGAACCAGCTTGATGATAAATCTGGCCCTGAATCTGTAACATGTATACAATTTTAGGTAAATCTTATATCAGTTTTTTTTTAAATATACTTTATGCTTCAGATTGATACAAACATGGAATAATCCTGTTGAAGTATTTACCTTAAACGTCGGCATAAAATTATCTCTAATAATTTTAGTTGCACCAAAAGAAGTCATTTGAAATGCCGAATTGTATTGTTGAATATGACTCAGAAAGTGCTTCGACGCTTGCGATGTCCCAAAAATAAATGAATACAATGGTTCGGGTGGAGTTTCTAATGCTGGCAATCTCACTTTGCCATTAGCACAACACATGCCGGGTGTTTCACCTCGAAAGTTAGCCGCATCACAATGTGGACATATTGCGTCCATCATTCCAATGTATCCATACATACTATAATCAATCTGACTGTTGTAATTAAAAGCAGCACGCATCATTTCAGCCAAAACAGCACGACGTATTCGTGATGGCCGTGCAAGATTCAGTACAGGTACTGGGTTAACAAATCTATTGCGTGCATTACGTTCACGCTGCGATGCATTAGCTTGTGCGCGTTCATCTGCAGTCTGTGATCGTCTTAGTCATGCCACATCATTTGCATTACGCGTTCGCCGACCTATATTTGCTCGTCTGGCTGGTGGTATTTTTCCCGTATGCACATATGTTTTCGCTTAAAAATCGAAAAAAAAAATTAGAACAAAAAAAAAAAACAAATTCCCAAGAAGCTGTCGCATATGATGCCATGTGAAATCATATACGGCAACTTAGAAAAGTATACATAAATTCAGGACTCACCGTTTGTATGAATGCACTGCAAATGCAATTATGTGAAAAGAAATTTATCGCTGATAATATGATTTAATCAAACCACGTCCAAAATGAATTGACGGCATGAATGACATAACAACGTGCTTGTCCTGTCAACAAAACTTAAAAAAAGTTTCTGTGAAAAAAGTTTCTATTGAATTCATTTATTACAAAAAATGTGACAAATGAGGAACCGCTCGACCGATTTTGTGCAAACTTCACATAAACCATCTACTAAATATGCCGACCAAATCCTAAGCATTTGGTTTGGATAGGTGAGCCCGTTCTTGAGTTATGGAATTACAACGAAAAGTGGCATTGATTTTTATATATATAAGATATCTGAGTGACAAATACTTTCTGAAACTTTCTTCCAGATCATCCGACTATTTGAGAAAACAACTTGAAACATTAAATTCGGGTTCAAAATATTGGCGTAAAAACCAAATTCCACTTCTGCTAGAGAGTTTCAGAAGGTTTTCAAACTTACCTATGTCAAGATTTGAGATTTTGCCCCAATTTTTGTTATCTTTTGATATTAAAACATTTCCTTGGGATAATATTATCTCATATAGAGTGAACACTATTAATAAATTTAAAGCTCAATTACCCATTCACGATCTTAAGCGACTTACCGAAGATATGATAGACATACAGTTTTCAGACTACATTAAAATTTACACCGATGGGTCCAAAACAAGAGACGGGTCTAGTTTCGCGTTCTACGATATAGCTACAGATTTTGGGTCCAAATTTCTAATTGAAAATTCATGTATACCCATCATGGGAGTTGAACTGATAGCAATTAAAGAAGCAATGCATTATATAGAATCAACATCATACCATAAAATTGTAATCCTTACTGACTCGAAGAGTAGTCTACAACATTTGTTGAGAAGTGCTAGGGGCGGTTGTGTCGGTAGAAATGAAGCTTACCTCGTTATTAAATGTATCTATAGATTGATACGTAACGGGGTTGAAGTTCGTCTACAATGGATTCCCTCACATGTGGGCGTCAGGGGCAACGAGGTAGCAGACTCACTTGCATCTAAAGCTCTACGGAACGACATACCTCTCGATATCACACCGCACTATACTGACTACTTTCCAAAAATTAAAAAACGAATATTATCTTAAATTTAAATCTTATTTTAACGAGTGCTCTCAAAACAGGGGCCTCTGGTACAGAAGCATTGTAGACGAACCACCACGCAAACCCTGGTTTGCTTCAAGAAATCTCAACAGAAAATATTTGACTATTTGCTTCCGAACCCGTACCTATCACATCCCACTTAACAAGTTTAACTTCATCATGAAAAAAAGAGACGATCCAAACTGTAAACGATGTGAGAGAGAGGAGAACCTCCTACACTTAGTTCTTGAGTGTAAAATCAACGAACAATCTAGGTTAGATTTCCTAAATGAAACTCGATGTTCTAGGGGTGAGCTTCTCTTCTCTCTCCATCAAATCTTAAGTTCAAGTTTCACTGCCGAACATAGTGGTAGATTTGTAAGTTTCATCATAGACTCATTGAATCTTAGATCTAACTATTATAAAAATACTCATTAAGTAATAATCTCAAATGTTAACACTTATAGTATAAGAATTTTTGTTTGTATTTGTTATTATTTTTAAGTCGCCTTAATCTCTGGATGTATGACTTATAAAATAAACAAGATTAAAAAAAAAAATCATTGGGATTCTTTTCACCGCGGCAAGGTAATACACACGCATATAAAAAAAACAGGTTTTGTGTGTGATTTAATTTTGATAACCCTTGAAAATAGTACAGAAAAAGATAAGTTAAACAGACATATCGTTTATTTCTTTATCATTGCCTCATTAGACTTTTATGACCATAAAAGCCTGTCAATGACTTGACCGACTGTATTATGTTGATCACTGTTACATCAAACATCATCAACATGAAGATCATTAACTCCGTATTTTTGCTTGGGGTGGTAACTGTGTCTTTAGGTGAGAAGCCTCACTACGATTTAAATAACGCCCCTGCTCTATTTGAGAAATTCATGAAGGATTACAACAGAAATTATAAGGATGCAACTGACAGAGAAGTACATTATCAGGTCTTTGTTGACAGCTTAAAGGAAATAAATGAAGCTAATGCCAGGCCTTCTCCAACTGTGTACGATATAAACAACTTTTCTGACTACACGAAAGACGAAGAAAAATACTTGCGTGGACTTTTAATAGGTAAAGTACCTTTTCTGTTATTCCTACCTATTGCAAAACGTTATCTCTTATCTTTGCATTATTAACTAAATTATGATGTAAGTAACAAAAAATAATACCAATGAATAGACAACATCTTCTTTTTTTTAATCGATTGAAAAATAGCAATTCTAAGATTATGAAAAATCTATATTACTCATAATAGGTGGCCACATATACAATATTTTTTTTTTAAATTATACAGGAAATTTTACGTTTTTATTCAAATAATCTTTAGATAGTTTGAGTTAAAAAAAAAGTTTGTTTGAAACCTATAATTGCAACAATTAACTTAAACTTCCTGTTTTCAGATAAAGCAATGAATTAAAACAAATGGACAAATGGTGTTGCCATTAACGTTTCTATTAATACATAAAACTGTTTTTCTTGGAGTTACTTAATAAAGTTTAAGTTGACTTCTTTTTTTATATTTATTGTTTCACTACTAACTCTTTAAACTTATTCAAATCTGCTTCATACTTAAATTTTATACAACAATAAAACACTGAGGGTACCTTTTGATACTTTGGTTTTTCTTAATTTTTCGGACAACTGCCGATTAGAAATACCAATTTTTGTTATCTCAGAGACTGTATAGATTAAAAGAAATAGAAACACAGAAAGTGGTTTGAATAACAAATTTATTTTTAAATTAGTTTTATATTAAAATAGTTTAAGATATTACACTACATACACTTTTAAAAAAGAAGTATTCTAATTTATTTTGCTATAATAGGAAATATACACACTCATAACATCATATAATGAAACCTATCAGTAATAAAAAACAAGGCCAACAACTACTTTTTTATAATAATTTATTACTAGCGAAAAGTGCTTTGGACATCATAGCAGTAAGGAATTAAATGTACCGATGCCGTCGCGGTGCGGCTCTTTTGATAACACATTTTATCTGACATAACAATCACATGTTATTTTAAGCAATGACATCACAAAGCCCGATTGTATTATTCTCAAACCCTCCGCCTTACTTAATTAATATGATAATATAATTAATAGATTGGTCATTAACAAACTATATTTTGATGATTGGTGAATTGAAGTTGTTAATCTGTTTGTTTGATATAATTAAAAAAAATGGTTGAAATCCATGTTCATTAATGAAGTTTATGCTCTAATATAATAACAAAAGACATAAGTTGTAAACTTTGTTTAAGTCTTTAAAGTACATGGGTAGTATACAGTACAGTTATACATATAGTTAAGTATATTCAAAAAAAGAAAAGTATGAAATCTAGAAATTCTAAATATTTAAAATAATTCATTAAACTATAAACAACAATTATAAACCTATTTTTTCTAATTTTGTATTGTATTTACTAAAGGTATGTTTTAAAAACAATATAACATTTTAATTTAAAAAATTGTTTAATAAGTATTCTGAGTCAAGCCGAATATTCTATAGTTTTGGGTTGTGGATTTTCCAAAGAAATGTTAAATAATGATTTTAAAAAGTTATGCAAACTGTAAACTAAAGAAAAAACTGTTATTACGGCAATATATTAACGACGCCATATTCAAGTAATTAATTGTTTCTTATAAATATATCTTAAATATAAATATTCTTAAAGAATTAAAAGAACACACGACTTTTTTTTTACCGCATTATTTCACTGTAATACTAAATGATGAAGGGGGAACATCATCCCTACTTAATATTATAAATGCGAAAGTAACTCTGTCTGTCTGTCTGTCTGTCTGCTACGCTTTCACGCCTAAACCACTGAACTGATTTTAATGAAATTCGGTACAGAGATAGAGTTGACCTTGAGAAAGAACATAGGATAGTTTTTATCCCAGACTTTTGAAAGGTTCTCTTGGAAACGCGATATAACCGAACTCCACGCGGCGAAGCTGCGGGCGGAAAGCTAGTCCTTCATAATTTTAAAGGTGCCAGATAAAGATATTTCTAGATAAACGAATAAAATATATTTATGCTGTTCGTTTCAAAAAACCAAGAACAATCCAGAAAAATTTTGTAGAGAATATTTTTCATTTAAGTATTTGTGTATATAATATACGCAATAAATGGAAAATCCAGTGGGCTTTTTAATAGAAACTTTTACTTGAAATTATAACGTAGAATATTGAAAGAAAGGTAAGCACTAAAAACATTCCTTCAAAAGCATCTTGAATTTTTTCTCATTGTTTATAAAATATTTCTAAGTACAAGTTATTTCGGGATAAACAAAAAAGTTATACCTATACATAATATTGCCTTAATAGGACGTTAGACGTTTACGTTTGACCTTTGTTAATGTATAAAATAATTTATCGATGAAAAAAAAACTTAAAGGTAAATATAGCACAGTGAATCAGCCGTTAATAAATATTTTATACATAGCACCTAGCTACTGATTATCATAATTAATTTTACATAAGTTGCCAAACCTTCGATTCCTTATTTACCGTTGTTTTGTGGTTTTATCGTAGACTTGTGGTTTCTTCCATTACCTCGACCTGTTTGATATGTAAACATGTTTTTAAATATCGATAATTATGTATGCTTTACTAGCTCTTGTCCATGGCTTTGTCTTGGTGATATATATATTTTTTATGAGAAATATTTAATTCAAAATAAATTAAATATTGACTGACCTAAATTTTAACGTTTAACTGACCTAAAATTGACTTCGACATTTATTTCCAATGCTGGGGCCAAGCTCTGTTACAAAACTATTTTTCATCAAGCAGGGATCACCTAAACCTACACTAATACTTAAGGTATATTTTAGGCATAATACATACATACAAAATTGCTGTTTCAAGACCTGGTCAACTGTAAATAGCGGACTCAAGTTTCTTGTATGAATATTCTAAATCAGATACATGGAACTTGTCATTTTATTCATGGGATAATAAAATTTATGACCTTAAAGCAGCTATGCGGTAAATTTCTCTGTTACCTATTTATCCAAAAGCATAACTTTATTACGATTTTCATTCCATATTTACATACATATATCGGGATAGTCTAATTTACTATTTTGGTACTAGTCATGTATACAGCGAATTTTTAAAGTGTTAGATTTTTTCAGTGAGATTTGGATATATTTGATGGTAATATTATTGGTTATTTTTATTTTTGAGGATTTATTGTGTTATATTAATGTATTGCAATAACTAATTTGAATAGGGATCAACAAACGGATGAATGTCTACTTAATTTATATATGGCCTATATACATACAGGGGGACTGGTGAATTACTATCGATACTTGAGGACGTGATATTTGACGATCATATATGACAAAATAAAAATTAATATAACATAAATATTAATAAACTTTTAAGTAAAGTTAACCAAAAGTTATGTAATTAATTACGCATCGTGTGAACACCCTACAGATTAGGTAGACACACACACACGCGTGCGGCGGCGTGGTGTTGTATCAGCATGCCACCGCACGCGTCCACACTTGGACAATTGGAACGTGTCCACACTTTATTTATTTATTTTTTCAAAAATTTTGTCAAAAATTAAGTACCTATTTTTTTTTACATAATTCGAATGAGAATCATTTACCGAGTATTCTCCTTAAATATTGATAGTAATTCACAAGTCACCCTGTATAATTATATAAGATACTATGATTATATATGTACATAATATCATTGACATCGTTTAAATATAAAGAGAATACAAAACCTTGGGATCTCTTGAAGATATTTGTTTTAAAAAATATTTGTTATGAAGCTTTATGCACAATTTTTCATTAAATACATATAATTTATGTATTGAGCAATTGTTTAAAAAATGTTTTCAATTTTTTTCTCACCACATTTTTAAGAACAACACAGAATATGTTGTTAAATGTACAATTCATATTTTCGAATAAATGTAAGTATATACCTAAAATATGCCTTCCTGGTGATGAAAGAG